ACACGGTTCGAATCCACCAGATGCTCTGCCGGAGAAGGAGGCGCAATATCCTCCTGTACCAGTCAGATCTGATTTGATGGTACACGCACACAAAATAATAAAAAATAATAATAAAAAAAAAAGAATATACACATTGAGGCCTTTCTTCCTATTTCCTTTCAAAGAGGGAGGGGGGTGTAACTTTCTAATAAGTGCATCTTTGCTATTTTAACTTCAGAAAAAGAATATATACATTGAAGAATGAGGAAAAGTTGTTTATGGTAACTATAACAAATTCCTGTGTAAATTTAGTTGATGAGAGTGTGAAATACAAAACCCCTGATGTATATACAGCATAGTTGTATGGAAGATAACCTGCAGGGCGTTTCTTTCCTCCTTGAATACTTGAGAAATATGAATAACCAATATTCAAAGAGGATAAAGTCATCATGCCCATTAAGTGCTAAATGAACATCTGTCAAGGATTTTTTTACTCTACTTTTTTCCACAGTTAGTATGCTGGGATTCCCATTCTTTTCCATGTTTGCCACAATTTCTTGTGATCCCTACAGTCAAATGCCTTTACACAGTTGATAAAATACAATTAGATATCCTTCTGGTACTCTCTGCTTTCTGCCAAGATCCATCTGACATCAGCAATGATATCCCTAGTGCCATGGTCTCTTCTAAACCTTACAGGTTAATGAGGATTAGAGAAATTCAAGTGATACTGAGCAGAAGGCATCAGAAATTCAATTCTTTTCCTTCTCTGTTTCAGTTTTTAATATAAATTTTCCAAGATTTATAGGCAATCCAAAAGAATGTTGAGTCCTCAATTAGTTAATGAAGGAAGAAATAAGTCAGATCCAAGTTAAAGGATACTCCAAAGAGGTGTGGGTTTATGGGGATTCTGAAATTAAATAAATCAGTACTGCACAATCCAAAAACTTTATTAAAATAGAAATAAATTTCTATCACAAAACACATTGTTTATTTCAGCTCATATAGATTTCTTTCTCTCATACTTATGTGCCTGGGAGCCATGATGGGACAAAGCACAGAACATGTAGAAAGATCTTGTCATTTCTGGTATTTGATTCATGGATTGGCAGCTTTTTTCCATAAAGGAACAGGTGGTAAATATTTTGGACTTTGCAGGTTATGAGACAGAATTAATTATACATTCAATGCAATCCCAATACAAATATCAATTCCATTCTTCAACGAGATGGAAAAGGCAATCTCTAATTTCATTTGGAATGGAAAGAGACCCCCAAATAAACAAAGCACTCTTTGAAAAGAGAAACAAAGTAGGAGGCATCTCACTCCCTGATTTCAAATACTACTACACTACCATGGTGGTCAAGACAGCGTGGTACTGGTACAATGACAGACACATAGATCAATGGAATAGAATTGAGAACCCAGAAATCAACCCATCTACCAATGGTCAACTGATTTTTGACAAGGAGATTAAATCAGTTAAGTGGGAAAACAACAGCTTTTTTAACAAATGGTGTTGGCAAAATCGGAAAACTAACTGCAGAAAACTCAAGCAAGAACCACACCTCACACCACACACAAAAGCCTACTCAAAGTGGATCAAGGACCTAGGACTAAAACTAAGGACTATAAACTTCACCAGAGAAAAGCTTGGAAGAACTCTAGAAACCCTAATCCACAACATGAACAGTCTTCCAAGCATCCTGAAAAACCTACTACCAGAAAAGGATAAAATAGATGAGTGGGACATTTTAAGAATCAAATCCCTATGTACATCTAAAAACTTCTCCAGCAGGGTAAAAAGGGAAACCACAGACTGGGGAAAAAATATTTTGTAATGACATGTCATATAAGGGACTTTTACCTAGAATTTATAGAATAGTACCATAAGAAGATAAAGGTAAACAACCCAGTTGCAAAATGGGCACAGAATATGAACAAACATTTCACCAAAGTAGACGTTCAGACAGCGAACAAACACATGAAGAAATGTTCAAAATCCCTAGCTCTAAGAGAGATACAAATCAAAACAACTATGAGATACCATCTCACCTCAGTGAGAATAGCAAAATTCAACAAAGCAGCAAAGAACAAATGCTGGCAAGGTTGTGGAGAAACTGGAACCCTTATTCACTATTGGTGGGAGTGTAAAATGCAACTACTATGGATGGCAGTATGGCACTTTCTCAAAAAATTGGAAATACAAATACCATTTGACCCAGCAATTGCACTACTGGGGAAATATCCTAAAAAAACCAGAACTGCTATCCAAGCAGATATATGCACACCCATGTTTATTGTGGCTTTGTTCACAATAGCGAAGGGTTGGAAACAACCCCAGTGCCCATCAACAAACGAATGGATAGAGAACCTCTGGTATATTCACACAATGGAATACTATGCTGCATTGAAAAACAAGGAACTCATGAAATACAAAATGGGTGACCCTGGAGGACATTATGCTG